GTCCAAAAAGAAATGTACTCATTACCTGACTTGTGTAATTGTAACCCTTGTGTACATCATCTTTATAATAACAATAAAAGAATAGGAAATAGGCATCAACATGTAAAGCACATACAAATAGCAAATAGCACATGAAAAGAGATTCATGCTGGGCACTGGTGGCTCATGCCTATAATCCTAGCTATTCAGGAGGCTGAGATCTGAGAATTGCAATTCAAAGCCAGCCTGGGCAAGGAAAATCCATGAGACTCTAATCTCCAATAAACCACCAGAAAACTGGAAATGGCACTGTGGCTGAAGTGGTGGAACCCTTTCCTTGAGCTGAAGAGCTTAGGGATAGCACCCAGGCCCAGAGTTTAAGCCCCATGACAGAGAGAGAAAAAGAGAGAGGGGAGAGGGAAAGAGATTCATTATTATAAGCCACTAGGGAAATGCAAATTTTAGAAAAATCTACCACCTAACAGAAAGGCTGAAATAAAAAGGAAGAGTAATATTAAATGCTAGTGAAGACACAGAGAAATTAGATTGCTCAATTAGATTGCTCATAAATTACTAGTGGGAATCTAAGTTGGTGCAACTACTATTGAAAATAGTTTAATAACTACTTATAAAACTAAACATATAATTACCATATGTTCCCACAATTGCACTTTTTCTTTTCTTTTGTTGGTTGTGGGGCTTGCACTGGGCCTGGGTGCTGTCATTGCTCTCTTCAGCTGAAGGTGAGTGCTCTACCACTTGAGCCACAACATCACTTCCGTTTTTCTGGTGGTTAAGTGGAGGTAACAGTTTCACAGACTTTCCTGCCCGGGCTAGCTTTGAACTGTGATTCTCAGTTCCTGAGTAGCTAGGATTACAGGTATGAGCCACTGGTTCCCAGTGTACGTTTTCTTTTTGACGTTACTTGGGTTTGAACTCAGGGCTTTCTCCTTGCTAGGCAGGTACCCTAATGTTTAAGCCATATCCCAGTGCTTTTTTGCTTTAGTTGTTTTTTTTTTTTTTTTTTTAGATAAGATAGCAACATTTTTGCTGAATCTGGCAGGATTCTCCTATCTCTACCATCTGTATAACTGGGACCACATACCATGTTTCACAGATTATTTGTTGGGATGATGTTTCATTGACTCTTTGTCTGTCTTATCTTGAAATCTGGTCCTCTCAATTTCTGCCTCCCAAACAGCTAAGATTACAGGCATGATCCTGATGCCCAGGCCCTGCCAATTGTGCTATTGAAGATTTACGCCACAGAAATGGAAACATGTCCATACAGCTTTATTTATAATATGTCAGAGTGAGAAGCATCTCAGAAGTCCTTTGCTAGATGGATGTCATTGGACTTGTCATGGACTAATCACCTCTGGAAGTACCTCAGAGGTGTGCTTTGCCAATCCCCCAGGCACCTCTCAATCCAAGTGAGTTGGTGATCACTATTATCCCTCACAATAACATGCTTGAAAAGACAAAATTACAGAAACAAAAACTTGCTTAGTGGTTGCCAGTGGTAGGGAATAGAACAGGGAGGCTGAGGCAAATGGGAGGAAAATGAGTGTTCATAAAGGTGACATGAGGGATAGATAGAGTGGTTCTGTATCCGGATTAGTGCTAGATACACAGATCTACCCATTGGCAACATTGCATACCGCTAAGCACCCCCGCCCCCGCCCCCGACACACACACAGAGAGTATAGGTAAAACTGGAGAAATCTAATGATTGGTAGATTATATTTCAATTTCCTGGCTTTGTTATTCCATTAACAAGTAAAGAGAGGAAAACTGTATAAGATGATTCCTTAGGGAAGCAATAATGAAAGAAAATATGTGAAAATGTTAAAATATGTTAAAATATCTTTGTGTAAGTCTGATAAATTCTGTTTAGTTATGATTTAATTCTCCTTTCAAAAAAAATCACATTGGCTGGGAATGTGGCTTAGTGGTAGACTGCTTGCTTCACATGCATGAAGGCCTGGGTTCAATTCGTTAGTACCACATACAAAGAAAGAGCTGGAAATGGCACTGTGGCTGAAGTGGTAGAGTGCTTGCCTTGAGCAAAAGAAGCTCAAGGACAGTGCCCAGGCCCAGAGTTCAAGCCTCAGGACTGGCAAAAAAAAAAAAAATCAATGTTTTTTTGTTTTTTTTTTTCCAGTGCTAGAGATTGAACCCAGGACTTTGCATATGCAAGGCAAGTGCTCTACCACTGAGTTACTTCCCTAGCCCACATACTAGATATAAAAAAACAAACAAACCTGGGCACCAGTGGCTCACACCTGTAATCCTAGCTACTCAGGAAGCTGGGATCTGAGGATCACAGTTTAAAGCCAGCTCAGGCATGAAAGTCTGTGAAACTGATCTCCATTTAACTACCCTAAAAAGTCACAAGTGGAGCTGTGGCTCAATTAGTAGAGAGCTAGCATTGAGCATAAAAGCTTAGGGACAGTATCCAGTCCCTGAGTTCAATCCTCAGGACACACACACACACACACAGAAGTAATAATTTACTTAGAATTTTAACATCTATGTTCACGATCAGGATTAGTTGTAGGCCAGACAGCATTGATTTAAATTGTGCATCCTAATCAGAAAGCAGATATGGAGAGGATCGCTGTTCAAAAGCAGCTGAAACAAAATTGTTTATGAAGCTCTGTTCAAATGGTATCTGGGTGCTGTGGCCTGTGCCTGTCATCCTAGCGGTTCAGGCAGCTTAGAATGGGAGGATTGTGGTTCCAGTTCCACCCTTGGAAACAGAAAAGAGATTTTAGAGAACTCAGCAGATGAAAAAATCTTGGGCATGGTAGGATACACCTGTCATTCCAGCTTTGGTGGGAATTGAAAACAGGAGAATCATGGTCTCAAAAGTAATCATAGCTCAGCCGGGTGCCTGTGGCTCACGCCTGTAATCCTAGCTACTCAGGAGGCTGAGATCTGAGGATCATGATTCAAAACCAGCCCAGTCAGGAAAGTCTATGAGACTCTTTATCTTCAATTAATCACCAGAAAACTGAAAGTGGAGCTGTGGCTCAAGTGATAGAGTACTTGCCTTGAGCTGAAGAGCTGAGGGACGGTGCCCAGGCCCATGACCAACACAAACAAAAAAAAAACAAAAAAAAATAGCTCAAATGGTAGAGCACCTGCCTAGGAAGCACAAAGCCCTGAGTTCAAACTCCAGTCCTACCACACAAAAAAAGTTAGACTGTAATTCTTTTATAGAATATAAATTGTGGGGTTTTTTCTTTTTGCCATGTTTTGGTATTAAGAAAATGCTGACCTTGCAAAACAAATGTGGATGTTGGCGGGGCAGGGGTAGAATGGGGTGTCTTTTCAGTACTTCACAATAATTTCAGAAGAGTAAAGTTCTGTTTTGTTTTGTTTCCCACTGAAGTTTGATAGAACTTTTTGGGAAAACCACCTGACCTGACAGTTATCTTATGGAAAAGTTCCAAGGACTGACTTACTTTAATTCAGTTATTGTACAAGTTGTAGTTTTCTAGGACGTTTACAATTTTATTTACATATTTTAAGTATTGGTGTACACATATTTAAAGGTATTGTTCTTCCGTATCACCATATATTTATGTGTGTATGTATATATACATATATATGTATACATAATTTGTAGTTACTGGAGTTAAACTCAGGGCCCTGTGCTTCACTGGCTGACACCTACCACTTGAGCCACAACCCTAGCCCATTTTTGCTATTTTTCTGGCAGCGTCTCATATTTTTATATTTTTGTCTGGGGCTAGCCTTGGACTGTGATCCTCGTGCTTGTGCTCCCAAGCTCCTGGAATAACAGGTGCACACCACCATGCCCAGCTTGTTGGTTGAGGCAGGGTCTTGCTAACTTCTTTCCCAGGTTGGCCTTGCATTGAGATCCTCCTAGTCTTCACCTCACAAGTAGCTGAGATTATGAGTGTGAACCACCACTCCCAGCCTTCTCTCTTCGCTCTTAAATCTGTTTTCTCTTTCTGTTTCTCAACCCAACTACAGTTTTATTTCCAGCCAGGAAAATTGGCTGTGTTATCTTGGCACTTTTCTTAACCTCTGAGTTTAGGTCCCTCTGTGTAAAATTAGATTTCTGCTGACCTTTTGGTATTGATGGGTGGAATGAGGCAACATTTGTAAAAGTGCCTGACCTTTGAGTGGATACTTGGTAAACAGTAGCTTCTTCCATTTTTATTCTTTCCCTGATAGCGCTCTTTTGAATATTTGGTAGATTTGCAGGGCTATGATTTCTTGTGCAGCACCATGGAGAAAGCAGATGTTGAGCAAGTTAATTGTAGACAATTGAAGAGAATTAGGAAGTTTGATTAAAGAAAGAAAAAAGCACTTTTTGAAGTGATTTTGAAAGGTTGATTTGGTGCCCTAGACTAAGGTTGTATGTTTCTCCCTTAGAAGATAATTTTCATTGGATTTCATGCAGGTTAGCAGCTTCAGTGAACCTTCAATTGCATATCTAACAGTCTGCAGAATTTCCAGTGATTTTCAAAATCACACTAAGCAGAGACATAGCACGTGTGTGTACATATATAGTCATATAGCTACTCTGTATATGTACACACATGTGCTATATCTCTGCTTAGATTTGAGGTTCTTGAGACCTGAGGTTTTCTATTATCTTCAGATACTTGTACAAAGAGATTACAATTCGAGTTTAGTGCATCTTGATCAGTGTCACCCCTTCCATCATTCTTCCCACATCTATCTCAATAATACCTATCCCCTCAAGTTATCTGATTCCATTTTTACATATGTTCATTGAGTGTCATTACTGTACTGCCTACCTCTCTCTATTCAAGACCTGAGTTTTAATACTGATTTAATTGTGACTCATCGTAGTGTCTCAGTCAATTTCCCTGTCTGTAGCCCTATGACTCTTCCTGTCCTTGCCTTTTATGACCGTTGACATGGATTGTGAATGACACCAAAGCAACACAAGCACCAAAGAAAAACAAATGGCTGCTAATTATACTTACTGTCACTGTTGGTTTTGGTCTTGTCCCCAGCTCTTCCATTGACCATGCCCTGCTGGACATGCCCTTCCTTTGAGTCCCTGAGAAGATGTCCTCTGACCTCCGAGAGCAGCTGGACCACCCATTCTGAAGATACCAGCAGTCCTAGTGTTGGCCCTTCATACACAGACCTACAGTTCATCAATGCAGAAGAACAGGCAAGCCGCAGGACTTCTGGGGCTGACTCAACTGGTAAGCTAGGCCTCCAAGGCAGAGTTCTTTGCAAAACACTTTTAGCTTTTTCTTTTTTTTTTTTTTTAACATTTCTAGTTCCTCTTTAAAGTCTTCTTAAATCCTGACAGCCAATTTTGTTTGCAGAATTCAGGTGTGGTCATCCAGTCCAAAAAAAAAAAATATATAGCATCCAGAGTGGTTTGAAATTGCACTGAGAAAAATGTATAAACAAATTAGCTGGTTGGTTGACTAATTATTCATAAGGGGAAACATTTTTGACAGAGTATTTTAATGTGCTATTTTCTGGCTGTTTAGTACAAGCACCATTCCCTATCAATTTATTTTTTTCCTTCTGAACTGTACTGTTCACAAGGCTGAGTCGTTCATCCTACCACCCACACACCTTGCCTCTTCAGCAGAAGGGAGCTGGATGTAAGCAGCAAGAAAGTAAATGTTACAAAAAGCAGATTGAGAGTCAGGATTCAGCCATTGTACCCAGACTACAAATCACTTTGCAGGTGAATGCTTGACCTTCAGGTATACGTTAATTGAGCTGTCTGCTAGTCTATAATGTCCCATGTTCTCACTTATTAAATTTGCAGTTGGCACAGGATGGAAAACTCACTTTCTTTGCAGGTGGAGTATGAGTCTGCCAATAAGCACATGTTATAGACGGTTTAGAAAGTCATTGGCAAGATTATATTCTTGGTATGAATATTTGGCTGAAAGGGTTGTTTTCTTCTGAAAGTGGTAGAATTACTGTTAGTTTCATTGTGTATGAAGTTATCCAGTGTGTCAACAATATTTGTTTTCCCTTCTCAAAAATATTGCTTAGGATTTTGTCTCTGGGTCAGTTTTCATATTCGGATAGCATTTACTCATGTTGGGTGCTTTTAAGGACAAGTTTGAAGATCCTGCTTATAGACTAAAGGGTTCAGACAGGATTTCGCTTGGTATTTGATAATATTGCAGGGTATCCTAATATATCACAGATTCTATTGTCACAAACCATGATTCTTTATTTTATTTTATTTTTATTCATTTATTTATTTTTATTGGTCATGGGGCCTGAACTCTGGGCCTGGGCACTGTCCCTCAGCTCTTCAGCTCAAGGCTAGCGCTCTACCACTTGAGCCACAGCACCACTTCCAGCTTTTTCTACTTATGTGGGGCTGAGGAATCGAACCCAGGATCTCATGCAGGCAAGGCAAGCACTCTACCGTTGAGCCATCTTCCTAGCCCCAAACCACGATTCTTTATAGCATTTTGATTTCACAGGTACTTCAAGTCTTTGGCTTATGATCCACTGGCTAGTGGCTAATTAATGTATGACCTACTACCCCATTTTCATTCTGGGAAGCAGCTCAATGATAGGAATGCACCTGTAGCAGCTGATGCCATTAGGAAGAGAGATGGAGCCTTTTTGCCTCTTTTGCCTTCAGTCTCTTTTCCAAACCTTCCTAAGGAGGAAAAAATACAGTGTGTATATTGACTAAGAATGCTCAGACTCTGATGTCTTATTGAGATTTAAGTCCTAATTCTGTCACATACTAGCTATATGACCTTTGGCAGTATGTGTGTGTGTGTGTGTGTGTGTGTGTGTGTGTGCACGCACGTGCACGCGCGTGTGTGCACGCTGCAGGGTTCTCATTGTTTGGGAAATTGGGCCCCTCACTGGGAAAAAAAAAGTGAGGATCTCTAAGCTCATAGTGATTTTTCAGTGGTCTCTGTACTTTCTCACTGGTAAAAATTGCCTTAATCCTTGGTAATTCAAGTGATGAAAATCAGTCCTCCCTGCAGTGGATATTAACACCAACAACAATTATTATTTCTTCTTTTTCTCTTCTTCCTCCTCTTCCTCTCCTACCACTTCCACCTCCTCCTCCTCCGTTGTTGTTGACATCATTGTCATCATGATGATGATGATCATCATCATCATCGTCGTCATCGTCATCATGATGATGATCATCATCATTGTCATCGTCGTCGTCATTGCAATACTGGGGATCCGGGGCCTTTGCACATTCTAGGCAATGACTGCTCTGAGCTATACCTTCAGCTCCTGAACAAGCCATTACTAATGTGTTTCAAAGTTTCTAAGTATTTTTAGCACCTCTCTTTTCCTAAAGTCATTCTGTCAGTTGTGGGGCTTGCACTGTAGGCCTGGGCACTGTCCCTGAGTTCTTTGGCTCAAGGCTAGCACTCTACCACTAGAGCCACAGTACCACTTCCTTTCCCAAAGTCATTCTAATGCCCAGTTGCTTTTTTTTTTTTTTTGGTCAGGGTCTTGGTGAGAAGCAAATGGCACTCTAGAAAGGGTTTATTTGGAGAGCATTTAATGAAGGGACTGCTTACAGAGAAAACAAGAACTGCAATCACAGAACAGCTGGCCAGGGAGGGCTGTCCTTGGTTAGACAGTATATAAGAACAGGGCTGTGGCAGATGTTCTATGTTGTACCTCTGTGTGGAGCATTGTCCCAGACCAAGCCTGCTTCCCTTGCCCCTGTTGCTTGGTAGTGGGCTGCTGTGAGCTGATCTGCTGCCTCCTCTCTGTCATCTGTGTAGGAGTTCTGCAGGGATTTGGCAGCCCCATAGGACAATCTGAATTGCAGCTTAATTGTGGAGGGAAAGACTCCTGTGAACAGCCTACACTTTCTTCTCATTTTCTCACCAAGGGAATAATTAGAGGAGGAAGGCAAACAAATCCCCTCACCTTGGTTAGATTACAGGGTGTGGAGCAGTGCTGGAAAGCAGTGTTGATGCTTGTTCTGGGGTTCAATTCTCCAGGGTAAATGGCAGGGAAAGTAGAAAACAGGCCAGCTTTCCCTCCTTCAGAAATAAAACCTACTGTCTTTTTTTTTTTTTTTGAGCCCGGTCGTGGGGCCTGAACTCTGGGCCTGGGCGCTGTCCCTCAGCTCTTCAGCTCAAGGCTAGCGCTCTACCACTTGAGCCACAGCGCCACTTCCGGCTTTTTTCTTTTTGCTTATGTGGTGCTGAGGAATCGAATCCAGGGCCTCGAGCATGCAAGGCAAGCGCTCTACCACTGAGCCACCTTCCCAGCCCCAAATGACTTTTTTTTTTTTTGGTTCCAGTTGTGGGGCCTGAACTCTGGGCTTGGGCGCTGTCCCTCAGCTCTTCAGCTCAAGGCTAGCACTCTACCACTTGAGCCACAGTGCCACTTCTGGCTTTTTTCTTTTTTTGTTTATGTGGTGCTGAGGAATCGAACCCAGGGCCTCAGGCATGCAAGGCAAGTGCTCTACCACTGAGCCACCTTCCCAGCCCCCTACTGTCTTTTCTATCACCTCCTGTCTCCCCAGGGTCCCCTTTGCCTACACCAGCCAAGCACACCCTGTCATCCTCACCAGATGAGTAGTTGTGTGATGCCACTGGGTTTACAGTGTTTATAAACAGCAAGAGGATCAAGAGAGAAAACAAGCCGCTGCCTTTGAAGGCTGTTCCAAGAGACAGTCTCCTATGTGAAAACACATAAGCATTCACAGTGGCACAAGCTGATTGATTGGTGGGCTTCCCTTTTGGTTTTCTTTTATGTGCAAGAAAAGTATACATTTACATGTGGGGGTTACAATGTACACACACAGACAAACTGAGGACTGTCCAGACTGGCTGAATCACGTAGCTGATGCTTAATGCTCTGTTGAGTGAATCCTCAAATGAATGGTGTGAGATATGTAGGTGGTAAGAGGCAGGTGTGTTCCAAACATTGGGTTTAAGAGCCCAGTATTTCCCAGGATGTCCCATGTAGCAGCTTGAAGAAAACCAGCATGCTGCGAGCATCAGTATGCCATGCTGTACTACCTCTGTTAGAAATCTATATCAGGCATTAGCTTATTAAAGGCTTTGAAAAGTTCGGAAATTATATGTATGTATTCTGTATATAATTTTTTTGTTTTTGGTCGTGGGACCTGAACTCTGGGCTGGGCACCGTCCCTCAGATCTTCAGCTCAAGACTAGCACTCTAGCACTCTTCCACTTGAGCTACAGCGCCACTTCTGGCTTTTTCTGTTTATGTGGTGCTGAGGAATCGAACCCAGGGCCTCATGCATGCAAGGCAAGCGCTCTACCACTGAGCCACCTTCCCAGCCCCATACTACATTTTTCTAAACGATCTGTTCAGCTCTCAATTTACATGAACCCCAAACCACATAAAATGTCAGATTTTACTTGGAATTACATGTCTTTGCTAAAGTGTTGGAAACAGAAAACCCAGAAAGAAATATGTTGATGAACCTGCCTGGATTTTTTTTTTTTTTTTTTTTTTTACAGTTCTGTACAGTTATCCCTACTTGTGCTTTGTTCAACTCCTGGCTTTCGTGTGTGTGTGTGTGTGTGTGTGTGTGTGTGTGTGTGTGTGTGTGTGTGTGTGTGTGTGTGTGTGTGTGTGTGTGTGTGTGTGTGTGTGTGTGTGTTCACTCTGCCCAGACAGTACGCTATCCCTAGATATTTGGGACTCATTTTTTTTTCTCAGAAACAAGTGCCTATGGCAGATAGGAAGTTACATTATAAACCTTCAGTTTCCTGATCAGACTTTTTTGATGCTCAGGAAGGTTCTCTTGTCATGATTTGTCAAGGTTAGAATGAGAACATCATCTACTCATAGGTACAGGTTTCAAGATGAACGTGCCTCTCTATTGCCTGTTCTGCCTTCCTGCTGCAGCTTGTAGAGTTGAAACCAGAGTCAGGGGCCCAGATTTCCATGATGGCTTTCCAGGGAATTTTTGTTGTTCTTAAGTTACCTCTTCTGATCTTATTCTTTGGGAAAAAAACAAGTTAATTATTTTTAAAATTCTTTCCTCTAACTACAAATTTAGAAGATATTTTTAATCTTCCTTGACAAATGTTTTCTCCCTCAAAATGGAAGAATACCAGAATATTTTTAAAACAAATTAGTTTTTTGTGAACCAGTACAAATTTGACCCCATTTTTGTTTCTATAGATTCTTGTGTGCATTAATTGTGCACTTCGGCTTTATTATTATTGTTGTTGTTATTGTTGTTATT